AACGGTGTGGCGCTTAAATCAGAGGCAGCCTCCATGCTGAACGTTACCGTCATAAATAGTTACCGGTATCCGCCGGTGCCTGGTAGCGCTCTGCTCCCCAGAGCCCTATGAATTCATCACTGCCGCCTTCTGCTTCGCCCCAGGTAAAAAATAAAAGTACAGTTAACAATCGGCGCGCTCTATTTTGAACATGAAATTACTCGCTGTACCGCAGACGGTTTCGGTCAAGGACCACAGGTGGTACCACAAGCATGAGGAACTTTTTGGAATGGTCTCTGTTTATAATATAAAAATATTTTAACTTAGATTAAAACCTCAAGTTTGTTATCAGAGAATTTGTTGCTTCTTTATGTTGAAATGTGTTCCATGTGTTACCTTTTACAGAAACTTAGCCCAAGCCTTGAGAACAGCACCATTCAGAAACAGAGGCAAGAACTCCAGTTTTTAATTGCAGAACTGAAAGATCGTGATAAGGAACTCAATGACATGGTTGCAGTGCATCAGAGACAGCTTCTAGCCTGGGAAGATGATCGGCAAAAAGTACTGACTTTAGCAGAACGATGCAACTTATTAAACAGTAAGTATTGTGTGTATAAAGAGTAAGACCCTTTTAAGTACGTTCAGGTGCTCAGACCCCTCAATAGCAGTTTTGCATCATACAAGGAACCGTTTCCTACCTCTTGGCCTTAAATTTGGTTGTCGTCTTCCTGAGATCAAAACTTCCGCGTTGGTACTAAAGCGATCTGATCTTGAAGGGGCTTTGATAATCAGATAGCTCTTTCTCGTTTGAATATGTAAGTTGCTCCTGTGGATTCCTTAAAAGAAAATCTGATTAAATAAATGGGGGGGAAGAGAACAATTTGCAAACATGCTGGTGTACTGCAGAGCCTGTGCTCTGACGTTCTGCTGTGCAGCTCTGACATCATCCGCAAGCCAACCGGCGAATCACCTGGCAGCTCTGAATAGTCTTGTTTCACAGCCGTAGTAGAGAGGTCACCACAGAGTTCGTACTCCATCTGACCTGGGCAGCTAGGGAATCCTGCTTCAGAGTATGCAATGCGAGCATCCATTCCTGAATCGCAGGATTCTGGAACACTAGATTAAATTGTTTCTGAGATTTGAAAAATTGCATGATAGTGAGCTGTTTTCCCACAGATACCTTGTCTCCTTTCTTTTCAGATGAGCTGAACAAGAGAAATGAAATTATAAAATCACTGACCAAAAGGTTAAAGTTCTTAGAATCTCAGCAGAATGACAGTAAGACAACATTTGAAAATACACAACAGAAGTTTAAAGAGCTGTCTCAAAAAGTAACAGATGCAACTGTTCACTGTCAGGCTCTGGAGGTAGGAGTTGAGTAATGGTCTGATTTTGCGGTCCATGTATGTACAGAATGCCGGTGGCATTTGTGAGTTTCACTAGTGAATAAATATTTCATATTAAGGCTCTTGAGTTGCATTTGTCTTTTAGTACAGTAATGTTAGATTAAGATATGGCTCTGATGCGTTGGGAGAAAAAAAAAGGGGCAGAAAAGCTTTCTTAAGCTAGGATTTGGAGTTTGCTGTTTGCTTAGTTTTGGGGAACCGCTTGCCTCCAAAAATGTCAGGCACTGTAATTGCAAAAGGCACTGTTGGCCCCTGGAACAGTTCTGGTACTTGCTTGGGAGGTTCCGGAAAGTTTGATTTACAGCTTTGACTACTATGATGAGCTGTAATATCCTGAAAACGGTTTAAGGATATAAAAATAATTGGTATTCAAGGGTTCTAGATTTTTTTTTTTTAAGTGATTTGGCAATGATGTGTTTATTGGGATAACTTTTTCCCCTGGATGCAATACAGTAAAGCAGTATTGTGCGCTTTCATCTGTCTAATCGGCTTGACTTAAGGCATGCAGGATATTAAGATCCTTGATTGCAAGCACGTGTGGTTGTAACAAATTGGGGAACAATGTTTACTCCAGTCCTCTTCAGATCCTCACAGCTTGCTCAGAATCCCACATTGCCATTCATGATGTTTAAATAAAGTTGTGCACACATTTACTGGAAAAATAGTAACTCTGAATCACTGAAGTAATAGCTGACACACTTACTTCTGTTCACTAGGAGAAAAATCAAAGTCTCCACTGCTCAGTTTTGGAACTGTCTGCTAAAACAGGCCAGCTGCAAGCGAGAGAACAGGAGCTACTTACTATGCTTAAGCTGAAGGTAACATCTGTCGTCTCATCAGGCACTAAATGCGGTCAAAGTGCAGTGGAGTTATTGGTGACTGGACCGCAGTGGTTTAGTCTCTGTTGATCTCACTGCTGTTTAATTCTTAGCCTTGTTTGAGAAGGGAAAAGTGGTCAGCAAACAATAAACTGGTTTATTTTCATAAACGAGCTTGTTTCCTGGCTTTGATTTACTTATTTATTTTCTCAAGAGCTCAGAAGAAAATCTGTGAAGTAGCTATAACTACTGCAGTAAGATGTACTGTTGTTTTGTCAAAATCCATTCATGAAGATAAAACAATAATCAAGAATACGTTCCATTTCGTATTTCAGGATGAGGCTATACTTGAAACAACTGATCACATTACTGAGTTTACATCTAAATTCAAAAAGCTGGAAAGTGCATTGCGTGCAGCAAAGATGGAGGAATTCAGTCTCAACAAAGAAAAGCAAGACCTCAAACTGAGACTGAAAGAACTAATACTTGAAACAAATAAGCTGAAAGGTAAATGTTTATACTGGGCACCTAGTTTAGTGTGGGCCAGCATGATTCCTTTTCATTCTGGGAAATACTACATTTTGTTTTAAAGATGACCTCTGTGAAAAGATGAAAGAAAATAGTAAGCAGCAGGAAGAAATCACTCACCTCAAACAAGAAAATGGCTGCTTGAGGAATGAGCTCGCACTTATTGGTAAGTGTGGGCAGCTGGCTTTTCATGCCTTAGCTTTCAACAGCTCAAGAGACTTCTAGACAACCACAGTTCACTAATGTCTGTGAAGGAGGCAGCTTCTTATCTACCTTTCTTGCAGTTTAATAAAGGGTTTGTGTGTCGTTCTTCCATGAAAGCAGTATCTAGGGCTTCTGCAGGGACAGTTTATAAAATCTTGTAAAAGCACAAAGTTCACCAATATGATTACGCATGGAGGAATAAATAGCTCAGAGGATTCTCTCTCTCTTGAAAATTTTTGATGCTTTCATGTCTCCTGTGGTATTAATGCAATAAATGGGGGTGGCATTCTCCCTTCTGACACAGGTTGCATAGAAAATGGTGACCTACCGAAAAGAAGCCACATGCAAAACCTAAAGCTTAGGCCCTACGAAATTACCAGCCCATCCACTCCCTCTGGTGTTTGTATGGAAGCAGTATGTTTACAAATGCACTTTTTCTCTTGCTTTTCTTTAACTTTAATTGGTTTAGACTGGTTTAATATGCAGGACTTGGAAAACTGCAGCTTTGCTATCTGTTGATATCTTCACTTTGGTTTTGGGTAGAGAGGAACTCTTCTGTGCTGCTTTGGATAAGAAAGGCAGGCTGATGGTTGCTGCGGTATTCTTGCAGACAAGCAATATATACCTTGAAAGATTAGATGACCGAAGATGTCCTCTGCTGTGAGGCGATTTACTTGCCAGTCACTTTTTATCTGCCATTACCTTTGCCAAATA